TGTTCAGCATCTTAGCTGTAGAGGGCAGTATCACTGGCCCTCATATGTGGGATCCGAACCGGGGGCCTCTGGCGTCCCAAGCCAGCTCTTAACCAACACGCTACTTGGCCAGCCCATGGACATTTCTTATGTCGACAAAACTACCCAAGGAAAAAAGAGAGAACCCAAATCAACAAAATTATAAATGAAAAAAAAAGACATTACAACTGTACCCACAGAAATACAAAGGATCATATGAGGCTACTATGAACTATATGACAAAAAAACTAGACAGCCTAATAAAAATGGAAAAATTCTTGGAAACATATAACCTACCAAGCCTGAATCAAGAACAAATAGAAAATCTAAGCAGACCAATTACTCGTAAGGAGATTGAAACAGTAATCAAAAATGTCCCAAGAAGAAAAGCTACAGACCAGATGACTTCACTGGTGAATTTTAACAAACAATTAAAGAAGAATTAATGCCAATCCTCAGACTCTGCCAAAAAAGTGAAGAGGGGGGAACACACCCAAACTCATTTTATAAGGCCAGCATTACTCTGATAGCAAAACCAGAAAAGGACACTACAAGAAAACTACAGGCTTACATCTCTAATGAATATAATGTAAAAATTCTCAATAAAATACTAGCAAACCAAATTCAGCAGCACATTGAAAAACCACTCACAATGATCAAGTGAGATTTATCCCTGGGATCAAGAATGATTCAACATACACAAATCAATCATTGTGATACATCACCTTAATAAAATGAAAGAAAAAAAATCATATGATTATCTTAACAGATACAGAAAAAGCATTTGACAAATTTCAACATCCATTTGTGACAAAAACTCTTAACAAATTAGGTACAGAAGAAACTATGTCAACATAATAAAGGCCACATATGACAAGCCCACAGATAACATCATACTCAATGGTGAGAAGTTAAAACTTTTCCTCTAAGATGAGGTACAAGACAAGGGTGCCCACTTTCACCACTCCTACTCAACATAATACTGACATCCTAGCCAGAGCAATCAGGAAAGAAAAAGAAATAAAAGGCACCAAAATTGGAAAGGAAGAAGTAAAACCGTCTCTATTTACAGATGACATGATTTTATAAATAGAAAATCCTAAAGATTCCACCAAAAAACTGTTAGATCTAATCAACAAATTCAGTAAAGTTGCAAAATACAAATTAACATGCAAAAATCAGTAGCATTCCTATATATTAACAACAAATTATCTGAAAATGAAATAAAGAAAACGATCCCATTTAGAATAGCATGAAAGACAATAAAATACTTAGGAATAAATTTAACCAAGGATGTGAAAGATCTCTATTCTGAAAATCACAAGACATTGATTAAATAAATAAATAAATAAATAAATAAATAAATAAATAAATAAATGGAAAAGTGTCCCATGTTCGTGGATTGGAGGGGTACAAGACTTCAGTGGAGGAAGTAAGTGCATTGTCTCCGTTTCTTTTCCACCAGGGCAGGGCTCGGCAAACTTTTGAGACAGAAGAGCCGCCAGGGGTCAGCAAACTGGGGCTCACGAGCCACATGCAGCTCTTTGGGTACGTACGTACATACGGCTCTGAAGTAAAATTGAAAACGAAAATAAAACTATCATAGTTTCATTCATAAAATGTTTAAAGGATATTATTCACATAATGGTGATTATGTAAAAATATATTTATGGCTCTCGAATAATTTTTAAATTGTTGTGAGGGA